CCCATGAATCACTGGACTGCCTATGCACTCAGTATCTGTCCCGATCAATTGTAAGATCCATCTCTTGACCGAACCTCAGAAGAAAAAACAAAGAGGAAGAAAAGAAGATTAATTATTGAAATGAATAAATTCGATTTCACAAAAAAATCTGTTCTAAGAAGGTTGACTGTGAAATTTTTAAATTATTTCTATTCGTAGTGCAAAAATGAAAAATGTTTCATGATTTAAGATTACCATTATTACTATCATTATTATTTTTTTTACTTATATCTATTTATTTATTTTATATTTATTATTTTAAATATATTATTGTCAATATCATTATTGTTATTATTGTCATTATTATTATTTTATTACAATATTTTAATTTTCGGAAAATTTACTTCTTAGGAAAACACTTCCATGATAAAATTTTTCGTTTAATATGTAACAATGTAATATATATTCTATGAAATGAAATGAAATATAAATAAATATTAGCAATAATCAAAGAAAAAGGGATGAAAAAATTATTAAAATTTCGAAATTTATATTCAAAGGATTTGTTCTTCTTGGTAGTTATCGCTAGCTGTTTGCGGTACCGATTGATACTATCAGGAGAAACGCAAAGTTTTTAATCGTAGGACAGCGGAGCTAATCTAACCAGAAATGATGGTCGCTAACCAACTATTATTACTGTTATTACAGTTACACTTATATCAGTTAGACTCTTTTATTTAACATATTTGCTGACTGTGTTTCATTATTTCGTTTGCAACGAGCAATAATTTTATGATTCAATCAATTCTTTTATCAATAATTGATATGAAAATTTTAAATTCGTAATTTCTTTTTATTCTTTACACAGTTTACACCATTACTGATTAGTTAATTAATTAATTAATTTATTATTATTATTATAGCTATACGACTACAGAAATAAGACGTTTCCTAACCTCTCGATTATACACGGACTCTTTCGAAATAAGAACTGGTATCCGTCAAGACTGCGTCCTTTCCCCCACAGTTTTAAATTGTGTGAAAGACTGGATAGTGGACATCGGCACTCAAGAGATATACAAATCAGTCGAAAGCATAGTATTACAGACCTTGAATACGATGACGTAGTTCTTTTTAAACTTGAAACCAAAAACTTAGGGCTTTTTTAAAATAAAATAAAAAATTATTTTGTTCTTTCGATATCGAAACCTCCGATGTTTAATAATTTAATTCCGATGTTTTACTGACAGTTAGGCAGAAATACAAATAATGCTAAATAATGTGAGAATCGAGCTCAGAGTCAATGCAAATAAAACGAAAGCCTTTTCGTTTTTTGTAGAAGAAACTGATAAAATACCTATTTCTATCAATTCATTGCCTGTTGAAGAAGTGCCTGATTATCTTGGATGCACTCTAGTCCTAAATTTCCAAGCAAAAGCCGAAACGGTAACTAGAAATGCGGGCTTCAAATTGACGAAACGTTTATGGAATTATCGCGAAATCACCATAAAAATGAATGTCCAGTCTTTCACATAATTTCCACGTCTATATAGCTGCAGTTCGCTAGATCTTTCTATCTGTCTACAAGATAGCCAATGAGAGTGGTGGATATTCTGCCTTTCGGGCATCTGCCTTTGACCACTCATGTCTAAAATATTTTACGGGACCACCAAGCCGATAAAATCTCGCACGATTCCATCCATCTCCGCTCAAATATCATTTGCATTAATATTACCATCACAGAACATCACTTTTGCTGGTTAGGGCATCCTTCGTCACCCACCACAGGAGTTGATACATATTTCGTTTTCAACTAAATCCTGAGATGGGGAGTGTCAAAAGTGAGGTGGTCCAATCAGTATCTGGACTGATACAGTTGGGAAAGATTTATAAGAGGACCAGCGATATATCGACTTAGAAGAAGGAAAAAGGAATGGCTTCTACTACCACCAGCGATGGCATCATATCAAACAGCTTGAAAAGTCCTACCTAACCAGTAATGATGAGAGCTATTAGAATATTGAAATATCGGTAAAGTTATCAATTTACGAACAATATGCCGACTTTTTTCCTAGAGGCAGTCTTAAAATTCCTTTTCTTCCATCTCTTTCCTCTCATTCTTTCCTTCATTTCCTCTTCGTTTCTATTTGAATCTTCGATATAGTTTATTTAAAGCTTTAATGATTTATGGCTTTTTAAAATATTAAAAAATATTTTCGAAAAATCTAATTTTTCAAAATGGTATTTTAAAATATTTTCGACCTTATCCATTTACAATTTTTTTCAAAATTTTTCTTTTTTTTTCATTATTGAACTTTTTTTATAGAAAATCGTTGTTATTCTTCAGTGAACGTCGATGTTTTTCGTTTCATTTGATCGAAACACTTGTTCTTCCCATTGCTATTTAAAAATTCTTTCAATTATTTTACTTTTAACCATTTTAAATTCAAAAATTTACTTTTTTCATTTTCTCAGTAGTGATTTTTACTATTTTAAATCCAGCAGTTTCGTTATTTTAAACTTTTCTTAAAGCCATTGTAATCGACTAGTTTTGTGCGTTTGTGGCGCTCTCCCGTTACGTAAACAACGAAAATCGCATTTCTCCTTTTTCTTTCACCTTTCATTTTCGGTTATTGGCGATCGCTGTTTTATTGCCATTTTCCTTTGTTTTTTAAATTTTTTCTAACATTTTTTCATAATGTTTGTCCACTGCAAATTTTAGCTCACGTGAACCCGCGTGACGCCGCCCACGTGGTCGGAAATCTTCCACCATCGATTAATAACAAATTAAAATAAGTAAATGAAATGTTCAGCCCCCACACTCGTTTTTATGCAACAAAACATCAGTCGATCTCAAATTTTTTTAAAAACGACCCTCAAGCAATCGTTGCGAGATTTTTTGAGATAGTTGGCTCGTTGCCAGCGCTGGTCGTTTTCTAATTTTTTATGTTTTCGATTAAACTGGTTAATTAAAATATTTAAAATATTTGATTAGTTTTATTAACGAAGATTTCGGCTGAATTAAAAATCAAATTATCGAATTTTATAAAAAATGTGGGTTTTTTTAAATTTTAAAGAAATGAAAACGATAAATTTACAAAATTTTTCGAAGAAATAAATGAAAGTGTAATCTTAATTTGCTTTACGAATGAAAATATGCGATTAGCCTTGCTGAAAATTTATTTCGTCGCTAAACCAATAATCGTTATGTGCGAGTCTTTTAATGTTTTCTCAAACGCCATTTCTGGCAACGCAAACCAACTTCATTTTACCTTCGTTCACAAATTTCTACTTTTTCACATTTGCGCGTAAAAATCAAATCATTTTTATCAAACCTTGCTTGCTGAATGATCGATTAGTTTCGTCCTTGTCCTTGCTATTCGCTTTTTTTCATTCTTTTCATTTTTGTGGTCATAAATTTTGTCTGAAAAATTTTCACTTTTGGATTTTCTCTTTCTTACGCAGTAAAATTATTCATCGTTTTTCGACCGACCCTTATTTTTGGATTTTGCTGTTTTTCTTAGTGTATTCACTACTACACTCCCATTTCCTAAGCAAGTTGCTGCACTTGTCGCGTTGAGTTTGCAGTTAGTAGAATTTCGCCGGAAACTCACGCAGGACAGAAATATACGTGGATGCCTTGTATATTTTGTTATATATTTTTTTATTCATTTTCTTATTTTCTTACTAGTTTATTCGTACGGAGGATAGGCACCAGAGAACTGCCACTCGTCTTCCTTTAACCACTTTTATAATCTCGTTATTTTTATTATTTGTCTTTTAGTAAATATCGAACAAGTTTTGTTATCGATAATTTTGATAATTTCATCGCTCTTCACTTTGTCTTTTTATTTATTATTTGTTATTTTTCTTATCTAATAATAATTTTATAACATTTATCACATAATATTTATAATTTGCTGTATTATTATGTTGGAAAAAAAAAAATTTCACAATTCTGTTTTCTCTAAATCGATGTTCTCGTTCCATACAGTTCCATACAGCATTTCAGACCAGATAGAGAATATGCATGTCATTGGAACCCGCTGTGGTACTCTTTAATGAAATTTCGACTTTGTTCCATTTCGTTACCTCTTTCTCAGTGAGATCACCATAAATTCCTTTATACTGTCTTTAATCCACCCTTAATCCATGGTAATCGCAAATTTCGCAGAATCATCCAAACATTTCGTCAAATCGCATCTTGTTTTTTTGTTAAAAACAAGCAAAGTAATACGATAGCATTTCCTTAAACTTTTTTCACCACTGGTTCCACTGGTTTTACAACTGATTAATGCCTCTTTATAATAGCCTAAGAAGTCTCAGTCCGTCTTGTTGAAAGTTTTTAAAGCATTATTTTGTGAAATCTCATTTAACATTTTCCACGATTCCTTAAATTCTTTTATCGTTTTCTCCTTTAATAACTTTATCTACAGTTTCTTTCGTTATCAATTTTGTAGTTGCTATTTATTCAACTTTTTGTTTTATCGATTCTATGGTTTTATGTTTTACCACACCTATTCAATAATGCATTTGGCAAAATGTTAAATGGTTTTAAAAAATAATTTAGTAAATCAGCGTACATTGTTTTTTTGAGAAAAAATCGAGATAAATTAGTATCACTGATTATGAATTATCGAATGTTTTTTGATAAAATTTTTTGGAATTTTTGCCATACCTTTTTTGTTTTTATTTTTTTTTTATTATTTACTTTATTTGTTTAAAATATTGCTCAATAAAAAATTAAATATTGCTCAAAAATAAAAATATTGCTCAAATAAATAATAATAAATTTCCAGGGGTATAAAACATTTATTAAAATTTACATAATCTATTTGTAAAGTTGTATAATAAATTTGCGTCCATTCAGGCGCATATATCTTATTTGTTTCTTTGCTCCAAAGTCTTGAAAGTCTTATTCTTGTTTATTTTCCACATATTTATACGTTTATCTATTATATTCTAATAATAATTTCAATTATTATTATTATCGTTGGATCCATAAATTTTTGTGAACGGCAATGATCGAAACGTTGTCAAGTTTTCAAGATGATATGCTATGGACAATTATTCTTGGCTTCTTTATCGCATCTATACTCTCATTTGCCATTGGTGCAAATGATACAGCAAATTCATTTGGCACGAGTGTTGGCAGTAAGGTTCGTTTTCTTTTGATCTGAAAAAGAAAGATTGTGAGGAAATAATAAAGTAAAATTTTTAGATGTTCAAATGATTTTTTCTTGTTGCTTCCATGCAACTAGAAATTTTTAATAAAATTTAATAATACTGAAGAGAGTTAATATTAGAAAAGTTTGGATTTTTGTTTACTCAAGTGATTTATAATATCTCGCCAAATATTAATTGTCTTAATCGATTACAATTTTCATAATTTCAGAAATGTGATAAAATTAACTTTTTTATATGAAATTTTAATTTTTGAAGTGAGAGGACTATTTAGTTACTTCGCATTTTAGGTGCATTTTTATTTTAGGTGCTAACATTGCATCAAGCATATCTATTGGCATCAATTTTCGAGACGCTTGGAGCTGCATTACTTGGATATAAAGTAACAGATACTATGAGAAAAGGTGTTATAGATCTTAATGTTTATAATAATAGTGAACATGAACTTATGTTGGGACAAATCTCCGTTCTCTCCGGTAGAATTTTCATAAATGAACTTGGAAATCTTTTTATTTTGATATAAAATGGGCGACAGAATATAAATTTAGGATGCGGTGCATGGTTGCTACTTGCTACATTTATGAAACTACCAGTTTCAACAACTCATAGTATTGTTGGTGCCACTCTTGGTTACACTCTTTTAGCTCGTGGTACGAGAGGTATTCGATGGTGGCCAGTTCTACGAATATGTTAGTTATTTTGTATTACCTTAACCTTTTATTTAAGAATACTTTTTGATAATTTCAGTTATTCATATCACATCGATATTAATTGTATGTAAAACGATTTTAGCTGTTTTGACATTTAAACTGAATTTAGTTTTGTCATGGTTCGTATCACCGGTGTTGTCAGGTATTGTCTCGGTTATTTTTTATATTTTTCTCGATCATGCTGTTCTACGTCGACGTCGACCATTGCACTGCGGCCTTGTTCTTCTGCCTATTCTTTATTTTGTTTGCACGTCAGTCAATGTTTTTGCAATTGTTTATGATGGATCAGAATGTAAGCTTTTTTTGTTTTCTGCGTTGTTCTGTGTTTGTTCATATTTTTAAAAATTATTTTTGTTTCTGCTTTCTTATTTAAACTTAATGGAACTTAAAATAGTATAAAAAAGGGCGACAATTTTTTTGAAATAATTTCAATTTTTAATCGATACAAATTTTAGAATTTTATAATTTTTCTCAAAAAATCGATAAGATTTTTTTCAGTTCTTGGATTTGATAAGTTACCATTATCGGCTATAATCAGTATTACGCTTGGGATTGGCTTACTTGTTGCAATTTTGATTCAGTTTATTGTGGCGCCACGCTTGAAAAAGAGCATTTTGGGTAAAATTTCGAAAAATAATGTACGCGATAGAATTCTTATTAATTCTTAGTTTTGAATTATTTTTCATCCTCCTTCACCAGTAACGATTTTTTTGTTGAAGCTGTTGAAGTTTGTTGAAGTTTTATGGTTTTTTTGAACGCTTCATAACTTTTACTGACTTTTCATATTCCATGTTTTCACTTTTATTGTCAATAATAATAATTTTTTTTAATGTATATTCATTAAAGTTTTTTTTATTTTAATACAATTTATAGTAATATTAGAGCATATAGTTATATTAGAGAATATATGAAATGAAGCGAACTCTTTAAAAAAAGAAAGTGATCCCATCCCAAATTTTAAATTTAATTTAAATATTTTTTATGGAATGAAATTATCGATTTAGATGCGTCATGCAAGGATCAGCCTATGCAAGTTTATAGTAATAATGGAGTTGAGGTTTCTTTGAAATCATCTCTTCAAAGTACGAACACTCTTGGTCAAAATAACACGCAAAGTAAAACGCTTGGACTGATCATAGTCTCTATTTTTTCACGTATATAATTGCTGTATATAATATAATTACCAAAAATTTTTTTTTTTACGAACTTCTTTTAAATTTGAAATAATTTTAATATTACATTATTTAAGGAATTTTTCTTGACATTTGCAGTAAAACTCAATATGACAATTTAATATATGATTTCATATAATATATTGAGGAGTATTATTCTTTCTATCTCTGTGTTTACCTTCATTTCATATCATTTAAATGAAAGTATTAAATTTTAATGAAAGTATTTAAATTAAGGCACCAAATCATTGCTGAAATGTGAATCTGGTAAAAGCTGGAATCCCGAACTCAATGTTACTCCAAATGAATGTCAAGATGATAGTGCTGAGCAAACATCAAGTGGTCATATTCACCATGGTATTGGTGCTAACACTGTTCGGCCAACTCACAGCATTGAATCATTCTTTCGATCTTCTAAACCAGAAGATCCACAGGCGTCAAAATTGTTTAGCTTTCTTCAGGTTTTAACAGCATGTTTTGCTGGTTTTGCGCATGGTGGTAATGATGTCAGGTGATTAATTTCATTTTTGCAAAAAAATTTTTTGATCCATGTAATTTTGTATTTATTGTGCTTTTTAATTTAAAATAAATGTATATGAGTTCCTTATTCAAAATTGATTCTACGTTTCGAATCACCAAAAAAAAATTTTTATTATTATTTTGTACAGCAATGCCATCGCTCCTTTGGTATCGTTATATTCAATTTATAAAGAAAAATCTGTTTTGCAAAAGTCACCAACTCCTGTCTGGTTGTTATTATATGGATCAAGTGGCATGTGCGCCGGTCTTTGGCTTCTTGGGCATCGTGTGATATATACTGTCGGTGAAAATCTTACGAAAATTACACCTCCTAGGTGATTTTTTTTTCATGTTTGAATTTTAGCTATTAAAATAATTAAAATAATAATTTAATCTTTAAAAGTTAAATTTTTTAGTGGTTTCGCTATAGAATTTGGGGCAGCAGTCACAGTTCTTCTTTCCAGTAAGCTTGGTCTCCCTATTAGTTCAACGCAATGCAAAGTATTTTTAATTTCAATTTGGCTAATTTTTTATCTTTATGGTTATAAAGGATTTTTTCTAATAGAGTTGTCTAGTTTTTCAGACTAATTAGTTTTAGGTTGGAAGTGTTGTCGCCGTAGGTTTGGTTCAGGCCAGTCATTCAGTGAAATGGTCCACATTTCGAAATATTTCTCTATCATGGATTGTCACACTACCTGTTACTGGTGATTTTTCATTATATTTTTGCTATAAAATTTGGTGTTTCTGAGGAAGCGTGTTTATGTCGTTATTTTAAAAAAGTTTATAAAATTCATCGATAAAATTTTCGATAAAAATAATAAAATTCTTAAAGAGAGTTATACGTAAATATTATTCACTTAACATTTCGTTTTAAACTTTTACCATTATTCTTGTTGACGCCGAGTATATAATTTATAATTTATTTATTTATTGTTATTGTTTCATTCCAATATTATCTCTTTTTAAATTTTTATAAAATTATAAAAATATTATTTATTGATATGTAAAAATATAAAAATATAAAAATGTAAAAATATAAAAAACTGTAAGGAATCGAATAACTTTCTGTTCCATTTTTTAGGTTTTGTGAGCGCATTGGTTATGTTCTTCTTACAATTGTTCGTTCTCAAGTGATTATTTGCATATTTTATGCATTAGTTTGAAAATTTTAATATATTATCAATTTTCAACAATTAATTTTTGGTATTTATTATTTTTTATTGTTTTGTTGATGTTCGATATTCCTTTTTTTATACTTTTTTGTCAGAATACTGATAAACTTGATTTAAGACAATCTTGTTAATCTTTTCATTAAAGAGATTCATCGCTTTATTGTTCAACTGGTGATTTTAAAAAAATCCGTATTCGTAGCATAGCATTATTACTTATAAAAATCTGTTGTAAAAGTCTCAGTCGTCAGCCATTTGCTATATTCGATTTTTATTCACACTCCTCTACTTCTACCAATTTTTAGTTTTTGCATTAATTTCTTTAAGAATTCATCAAATGTACAGATAAATGGATGAGCTAAATTTTTTATTAAATATATAGATATTTTATTGACCGGCTTAATTTTTCCATTTTTCTTCAAAGAATCCCATAATTTTATTAAATTTTAAATTCTAAAAAGTTGTACCACTTATAAATATTTCTGAAACGAAGTTTGTATTGCCTTAGAATTTTTTCCGTGTCCTTTAAATTGGGTCAAATGTTGTAAATGTATAGTGTATAGTAGTGGGTTTCTTTTTTATTGTGGTATCCTTAAGAAATTCGTTTATTAATCCAAATGCATTATATATTCGTTGTTTATTAGTTATTGATATTCCAGAGAAGCAAATTCATCGGTTGGCGAAAACTTATGACGTTAGTTGAAATTCTCTTGCTGTGATGATAATTCGGTCAATTTTTTTTCCAGCTGTTTTCATTTTCCACAATGTTTTTTTTATTCGTTCATTTTGGTTAATTTAGAAATGCTCTTTTTTGTGAAACTGAATTAAAATTGAGGAAAAATGGCAACGCGTAAAATAGAAACGTAAAGCAACTGAGAAACAAAAGAAGCAATTTTTAAGAGAAATAAAAGCAGAAAATATTGGAAAATACATGTGAAAAAAGTTTTATTTTAAGTTCATTGATTGAATGTAATTTTAAAAAATATTAGAAAAAAAAATTGCAAAATTATTAGAAGTTATGTGCGAAATTTGAAATAAAACTTTACTAAAATAAAACTTTAGCAAAACTTGAAGTGATAATTGATTGATAAATAATTATTTTATAAGTTATATTGCATATATTCGTTGTTAAATTGCACATCGAAATCATCTTTTTAATGTAGAAACATTTAAAAAATTTGTATAAAAACAAGTAAATAAATTACCACTTTTTTGAAACAGCAACACTGAATTTATCAAACGTTTTTTTACCAGTGGAGTTAGCCTAACCAGTATTGGTGAGAGCTGTTAGAAGAAAGAATAAGAAGGTTCTGCATGATATGAATCTTGTCGCACGGTTATTGTTTATACTTGGTCGGCTAGTTGCACTGATACGACGTTTCTGAGCATCTCATGCTACACTCAGCGAAAGCTTTTCTGTTCCTCTCTTCTTTTGGCTTCCTGTTCTCTTCTCTTGGTCCTCTTGATTAGGCTTTCGAATTTTTTGCCACCACAAGGCCTTAGCATATAATTAATTCATATTCAGTTAACTAATATTCTTCGAAATATATGAATTAATCAACAAAATATTTTTTTGTTAAATGATAAATTATAATTAATCAAGAACAAAAATAATAAAATTTACAATAAATTAAAATATGGAAATTTAAATGAATAAAAGTCAAAAGTTAAAGGACTGAAAAATCAATCGAATAACAACGCATTTTCTTGGCCTTCAACCCTGAATCTTTAATCTAATTCATCAATCGTATCAGATAATTTTGAGTATAATTTGTCTTCGCTCTTTGTTTATTCTGAATGAAACGCTGTTGCTATTTAATAGCCATTTGTTTTGGTCTTAAATCGTTAGTCGATTTCCGTTATTTTTGCCATTAAAATTTATCTATGATATATCGAAATTTATATATTTAAAATATTTTGTAAATATTTTATAAAATATTATTTTCGGAATTTTCAAGAATTTCGCTTAATTGTCGATTTTCTGTTTAATTTTCCTTTTTTGCATACATTAAAATAAGAAAAAAAGTTCTCGATGGCATGGTGGCTTCGTTGGTTCAATTTTCTTTAAAAAAAAGTTGAATTTATCTTTTTAAATTTATCAAATTATACGTTTTGAAAATTAATTTCCTCATTCTAATCGTTTATTTTTCTTTCGAAAAAAATAATTATTAATTATTAAAATTTCTTGGATAATAAATCGAATTGTTAGAAAAAAATTTTCTGCGAATTATTTTGAATTTATTCGATTTGTTTTAAATATAAATTTCTTCATCATTTTGAGAAATTCATTTTTTCCACGTTTAGTAAATATTTCGAAATTTCGAAATGCGATTTTTAAAAATTTTTTATTAAATTATTATTTATTTATTAAATTATTATTTTATTATATTATTTTATTTTTTATTAATAAAAATTTTTTAAAAATTTTTATTTAAAAAATTTTTGTCAAATGTTGTCAAATTTGCAAAACATTGTTAGCGCGAGCCACTTCCGCTCAGCTGACTGTTGACACAATTAGAAAATTTTGTACTCACTTGGCGATATCATTCCGAACTGGCTTGCCATCACCACTCCAGCTTTTTGATGACAGCTTGACTTCTACCGGCGAGTATGGTGAATTCTTGCCTCTCAAGCGATAATCTCAGCACTCGGTCATCGTGCCTCCTTGCCGAAGAAAAATATAAGAAAAATCGAAATATTATATGTTTATTTTATTTTATAAAATTATTAAAGTTTTCATTGCATATTTAATATTATTTTTGGGAAAATTTAATGATGGAAAAACATAAATTTAAAGTGGCAGAAACTTATCGTTATTTTTAGTCATTTTGCAAAGTAATTAGCAAAGCTTTTTAGCATTTTTTTCGTTAAATGCACAATTGAATGGCTTTGGGCCAAGAAATTCTCTTTCATATTGCAAAAGTCTCTATTTTCTTTCTAATTTTATTAATAACTAATATTTGCCTTATATTTGCCTTAATTTTACTAATATTTGCCTTATCATTCCATTGTTATTATCATTATTGCGTTTATCAAAGCTCATATCATTCTTTCGAAATGTTTTGTCCTTATCATTAACAATACCTTTACTATTAATAGTCGTTATTATTAATAATACTCGTTTATCTGATCTCCTTTATAATCCTTTTTTCTTTTTCCTTGCAAAAACAATTATAAGACAATTAATCGAACTAATTTTCCTGCAAATAAACCAAATCTTTTCGATTTTTCCACGAAATATGTATCGTTTATTGTTAAAAATTCACTAATAGCGACTAATTAAAAATCTAAAATAATGTAACGTTAAAGTTTGTTTCCAACTGATTTCCTTTAATTAATATTTCTTAATAAATTTTTTTCTGAATTTTTTTCTAATATTGTTTATAATTTGAAAAAATTCTTCATTGATCTAAAAAGAGATTTTTTTTATAAAATTTTTCATTTTATTTAGATTAAATTTATTTATTTTTTATTCATTTATTTTATAATTAATTCATTAATAATTCATTATTAATCAACAAAACTATAATAGAAATTTAATTAAAATCATTTATTATTTAATAATATTTTAGATTCTAAAGAATTTTTCGCAGAAATTAATTTTATGCAAAAAATTTTTGAGAAAAATTGACAGATAAATTAAATAAATAAATAAAATTACTATATAACTATGAATTACAATATATTTATTCTGCGGAAACTTTCGTTTTTTTTAAATTTTACTGTTTCAGTATAATTTTAAAAAAGAGAATATTGAAGGAGCACCTTTTTTTCCTAAAGTGTTACATTTCTGATTGCCATTAGGTTGCACTGGCGTATCGGAGATAAATTTTGCCAAAGAAGCACTTGGCGATAGGCGAGTCAGCATTATCTGCCGTAATTAGCACAAAATAGATTATCGTTTCATCAGAAAAAGCCGATTTTCATGCGCTTATTTTAGGCCGAGACAAATTATTTAGAGTCCAGCCAGATCGCGTATCGTAATGAGGCAGCAACTATGACAATAAATTTAAATTTAAAATTTAAATGAGAAAATAATAATAAAATCGCTTAACTAACCGTTAAAAAACGTCCCTCGCGATTTCATTAATTTTAAAATTTCCCTGCCGAACTTAGAAGAATTAAACTAAACTAAACTTTTATTCATATGGTTTTCTTTAAATCATAAATCTCTAATTCTCGTGACTTATGTAATTTTTGAGAATAAAAGACGAATTTTCTTTTTTTTCGCTGTCTCTTAAGCCTAAATTCAAATATTAATAAAATATATGAAAAATACTTTATTACATTTGTACACTTTTTTCGAATTTTTCCACAATCTCAAGATTATTTTATGAAAAAACAAAAAATTTTGAAAAGAAAATTTCGGCAGAATAAAGAAATCCAGGCGATTGGCTGTTCATCTGTGTTTCTATCGCTCCTATGATTATCTGGTAAAATTTATCTGGTTTACAAGCCGGCGGAGCGATTCAAACGAGTTACAAATTAATTTATTCGCCGAATAAAAAAATTTTTATCAAAAAATTCCAATCGATTTATAACGTTGTCTTGTTAAATATTTATTTTTTGATTCATTCAGTAATTTTAAATAATTAATGATGAAAATTTTGTAATTGATTTATTAATGTTTTATTTAATAATGCTATTGAAATGCTATCAGAAAAAATTCAAATGCAGCGAAATATTTGGCAAAAAATTCCTCTTACCTTGAGTAAAATTACTTCCTTACAAAATTATTCAAAAAAGAAGAGCAACGAAGCTTAGAATGAAAATTGTTAGGTTTAATAGCAAGCAGTTTCTTTCTTCTTCTTCTTAGGAGTCCTCACCATTACTGGTTAAACTCGCTCCACTGCCTTGTCGCATTGGGCAATGTGCCAGGGAGTCCCTTAGCGATAGACATACAAGTGATTCGCCAGCATCACCCGGATTTTTGGACGGGTTTGCTCCTCTGGGGGAATCGAACCT